CTGCATCATTCTCATCAAATGTCAGCCGTTTTCGGCTTGCCACTTCAACTTTTGTTTCTCTATCCTTGCCGACATTGATAATGCGCTCAGGCAATACAATATTTTCACACAACCCGTTCAGTGTGCTACTCTTCCTACTTGGCCCTTCAAATTTTTTGACTTGAATACGTGTAATTTAAATTACCTGAAGAATGATTTTCCAAACTATTGCAGGATCAGCCCTACCTGTAGGTGAGAAATGACCCTTCTTTCAGTAATAGAAACAAACAACAAAGAGAAGAACAAGCCAAAGAAGTCATAAGATTATACCTAGGAGGAATCTTGGAGATGGTGCCTCATTCCATCTCCAAAATCGAATATAAATAGCCCAACGTGCATACTGAAATAATTGGCCGGGGATTATTAAGGGAAGGATCCATAAATACAAGACGAGGAATCAGAAAAAACGTATCAATCATACCGGGAAATCTGCACATTTGATACGCACCGCCAAGAATCTGGAAATCGGGGGTTGATTATGCTAACAATTCGAATCGCCCAAGGATTGTAATCCATTGCTAGGGGACACGCGAAAATTATGCCTATTTCACCGGGAAGGTATGAATGCTGGACAAGAGGAAATCACCGTACAGCTTAAGGAGAACTGGACATTGTGATATGCAGGAGAATTGGCTTTTGTGTTATTCATCGTAATAGAGGAGCAAGAAGAATGTCATTCTCTCATTCACATCCAAAAGGCGTCTGTATAGGACAAAATGGGAAGACATGAGCCTCACAAAATACACAATTAACAAACATAAGAATGTCACTTTGTAGTTAATTATGAGATGTGACCAGTTGGAGAAGAATTGTTTGGGTGGCATCCAAAGCTTCCCCAAATATTTGATTGTATCATTTCCAACATCTAACCCCATCCAGCCATCTGGTTTTGCAGTTGCCCTGACCAGGTGATTAATCACAACCATTATCATTCATCATTTAATTTGCACCTCAATACTCAAAAGGAATGATAATCTTTGGTTGTGTCTAGAAAGCAAAAATTTTAGGGTTGGTTTTTACCTTGGAGAATATGGATGAATTTCAAATTTGATTAAAACTCTTTCAAATTCAAATGATATTTTTTAATTCATTAAATCATGCGAATTTTCTTTCCTTCATGTTTAAATTGCAATAAGCCGTCCAGAAATTAAACCCTACCTTCCAAGACCTTGTCAAGTTCTTTTGATCCAGATGTTATTTGAATGATTTCAAGCCTCTGCGCATGGAGTTGGCTTGCACAAGTGAACCCCAAGGCCCAAGGGCACCAATTTTGAAGCTGTTGGTTGGTGTTAGTAAGATTAGTTTGCTGATATGCATAGTTGCAGCAGCGAGTGAAGCAGGATGTGGTCAGAACTGAAAAGGACAAACCTGCTTCTATAATTTTGTCAACTTTAGCTTCACTGATCCCCTTTATTTGCACAAGATCCTTTCTAGGAGCGTACATGACTGATTCCACAGTATATAGACCAGAATCCTTAAGTTTCNTCTTGAAAATTCGAAACAAGAATTTTATCTTTTATATTTTCGAAGAGAGAAGAAGAGTGAGAGAATGGCGTAAACCTGGAGTTGCTCCACCGGGAAAGGGCCGTGTTGGATTTCCTCAAGATCATCTTGTCGTCGTTCTTGCACATCTTTATGCTGGTTCCTGTGCTGCTGCTCCATTCTTGCTCGAAGTCGCAAGAACGGCGGGTTTCTTTCGCAGTAGCAATGTGAATGGGAAATGGTGGATTCTTCAGAATTGAAAATCGTCCGAGGCGTCAAATACCCAAATGCAGAAGAACGAGACAATAGGGAGGGTTGAAATGAATCCGATTAGAGCAATGTAATGTTAGGATAGACGGCCAAAAAATTAAACCACTGTTTTTTTTATCCAAAACTTGATCCAAATCCGACCAGAAAACACTGGCTTTTGAATAAAGCTTTTGATAACCAAATTCGAAATTGACCAAACTCAAAATGACCAGCTAAAAATGGGTCAAATCGAACCCGAACCCGACCTGCTAAAGTAAGAATTTTTCAAAATTATACATTTTTTACTTGTTTTTAGTTAATAAATTTTTATTCTCAGACAAAATTTTAATGATATGCATAATTATCTTACTTTTTCCAAAACTTAAGCATTTTTAAATTTCTTATATTGATTTATAAATCTAAAAACTACTTTAGAGTTTAAAATAAAACAATTTTATAGATTTAATACTTTTTTTTATATTTTAAATTTATTTAATAGAAAATGTAAATGCTAATGTCAATTTAAAAATTTAAAAAACCAAAGTCATAACCCATTGGGTTGACCCGAACCCGATGGCAATGGGTCATAAACATACAGTTCTCAACCCGAGCCCAAATTGACCCGAACCTGAAATAACCCGAATTTGAAGTGACTAAACTCGAACCCGATCTGACCGACCGATTTGCAACTCTAGCTAGGGGTACATCAAAGGTGTACCCAATTTGTCCCCCACCCCTTTCTCCACCACTCATTTTTATCTACTTTTTGTTTATTTAATTTTTTTTTAAATTTCTTGCCCATTTATGTGGTAATGGAGGGGGAAGGGGACAAATGGGGAACATCTTTGGTGTACCACTAGCATTTAATCTGATTAATTTGAAATGAATGAATCCTATTTTAATGGACCCAAGGAATTTAATTTGAATCAATTGAAACTACATACCTATACTATATACTCCCTCCGTCTACCTAAAATGTTCTCATTTTGACTTTTGGTAGTTTTTAAGAAGAGTTGAAAAAAAGTGAAAGTTTACCATAATATCCTTAAAGAGAATGGGTGGAGTGTATTAAATGAGGTGGGTGAGGTGTAATAAATAAAATGAGGGTAGTTGTAGTATTTTAATTGTTAAAAAATGAAATTAGAAGATCTATTGTGGACAAAGAAAAAGGACTATTGAGAAGATCTATGGGGATGGATGGAGTATATTTGGATGTACGATATTTTTGAGTAACTGAATACTCATTTTTGAACAAAACTGAATTTTATATAAATGAGTATATAGTTACTCGAGAATGAGCATTCAGCTACTCGTAAACGAGTGCTTGTTGTTCGAAAATACTGTAAAACTCATTGTACGGATATATATATATTGCGACCGAAATTAAATAGGGCAAACAAATAAAGTCATTCTTTAGGATTGGATCATGCTCATCATGCTATCGACCTTAGCAGCCATGGCCGACATTTGATCAACTTCATACATGCCTCCAATTTTTGGTTGAGCAGATGGACGGTCAGAGTACCAGGTGGATCCGTTTGTTGAGATCCGCTCAATGAGTTCTTCAGCTTCATCAAGTTCAAGGCTCATGAATGATCCGCTACTACAAGAAAATATCGATTTTGTAACCGAAAAATTGTAACGGACGTAGAATTGCAATGGTTATTTTATTTGCAATGGAATTTTTTTTTGCAACAGATTGTTTGCAACGGAAAGTGAAAAAATGCGTGGCAATTATGGCGGGAGGTTGGCGCCATTTTCTGGGAACGTTATGCAACAGATTTTTGCAACGGGTTTTCGTTGCAGAGTATTCGCAACGGATTTCTGCAACAGCGTTTTCGTTGCAGATTATTCGCAACAGTTTCGTGCAATCATTTTCTGTTGCAGAGTAATTGCAACATATTTTTAGAACGGAGTTTCCATTGCAAGTTTTTTGCAACAGATTTCTGCAACAAAGTTTCCGGTGCATTTTATTTGCAACAGATTTTTGCAATGGATTACCATTGTAAAATTTTTGCAACAGGTAGTTGCAACAGAGTGTCCGTAGCAAATTGCTCACTACAGTTTTTAAACTTTTTTTTATTAAAAATAAGTTATTGAAACTAAAAATATGAAACTAAAAGTAATATTTAGAAAAATCCTTAAAAAAGTAAATGAAACTAAAAAATGAGTTATATGATTTAATTAAAATTAAAATAATTTGACTAGACCAACGTACTTATGTTCACATAATCACATTTCATAAGATAAGATAGTCACCGTTATGCCACATAGCTGTTTTGTATATGGAATTGCTATGTAAATTTATATTATTGTATACTACCTCCGTCCTAGTGTATTTGTCCAATTTGACTTTTTTGAGTTAAACTGGACAAACTTTGAACTCTAATTACTCTCAATTTATAATGCATATATATTAGCATAATGAAATATAATTTTGAAAGTTCTCAATATGATAAATCCAATAAAGTTATTTTTATGTTAAAATACATTACGGTTTTTATTTAATTGAATCTCAAAATTTGTCTAGTTTGACTTCAAACAGTCAAACTCGACAAATACACTAGGACGGGGGAGTATATTTTATTTATAATAGTGACATTAATTAGTTTTGGCGATTTTATTAATTAGTGCATATCGTCAACTCGTCATAAATCGATTGCTTGTTTTAATTAATTTACGTAATTAATTAGATTATACAAATAATTGAATAAACCTTATAAAAAGGGAATAACCTAGCTAATTAATATGATGTGTGGAGTTCATGTTTGTTCAACAACTTTAAAAATTTCACGGCGGGGGTCCGGGGGCGGCAGTCCCTGGTAGCGGGGTCCAAGGGGCAGAGCCCCAGCTGGGGTCGAATTTTTTTTAACGTTGTTGTTTTATGAAATTTTTTTAATTTTTTTGTTTGGAGTCTAAAATGAAGTCCAAAATGAATTGAGTAAATATATTCAAAATAAGAGGGAATCCTTTTAAAAAAGTAATCATTTTGAAAAAGAATCTAAAAAAAAGTAATCCTTTCAAATAATAAAAGCAACACTTATATTTAAAAACCTGAATAAAAAAATTGACTCCTTCATCGCCTAAAAACCTTCCTCGCCTAAAAATCGGAACACATGCCTTCTTCTTAATCGACTGAGCAACCGCAACTATTCATCTTCTTCTCTCCCATTTACGTGCCGGCCAACGATTGTCATAGAGTTCTCAAATTAGCTCCAATCAATTCCAATCAAGGTTGAGGTGAGTAATCCAATATTTGATTTCATATTATTACCTTCGTGTTTTTGGTTTTCTAGTATTTGTGTTTCTATAGATTTTTGATGTGTTTGGAGTTAGTTTTTTGATGCTACTCGGACAGGATGGAAGGGGTCTAGTTTTGGAATGGTGGGCTGGGATTCACAACCTCGGGATGGAAAGGGGGTAGGCTCGAGGGTGGGGGGCTGGGTCGTGATTGGGGTTCAGGGGCTGGACTTCGAATGGGCTCGACAGTGGGGGGCTGTGCCGTGATTGGGGTTGGGGGCCTGGGCCATGATTAGGGTTGGGGGGAGGGGCTATCTTTATCTTTTCTTTTAAAATAGGAAAAATTACCCAAAATAATTCCAACTTTACCTGGTCTTTCAAAAATAATCCCACTTTTCACTGTGATGCATAATAATCCCAACTTTACTAAAATTTGTCACTTTTGGGTCGCCGTTAAGTTTCTAACGGGGGTTAACAGAAATGCCTGTTTTGGGCAACAAAATGAAAGTTGGGATTATTTTTGATGAATTTTCATTTTTTTCATTTTTTTAATTTTTTATTTAAATTTTTTAAATTACATACATACACATACACACATACTAGTTATAGTTATTTACCCTGCTTCGCACGGGCTCATTTAATCTCACGTAAACTATATCTATAAATTCAAAAAACATAAAATGAAATAAAAATGAACATATAATTCATAAATTGAAATATATATAAATAATTGAGTAAATGAGAAATATATAAATGAGACTCGAAGCTCTAAAAACATGACATTTGGCATATTCAAATATTGACATGTGGCGCATTAGGATTTTAGACATGTGGCATATTAGGTGGGAATTTAACCAAATTACTCTCTTTCATTATTTTACATTTTTTACTCTTTTTTCAAAAAAATGATATGGAGTAATTACTTATTTTGAACCCATGAACTCAAATTTA